CTATTTCTACAGGAGGCGACGCCACTGAATTACCCAAGAAAAATGGAACGATGCCAACTGCTGGCAGATGCAGGGAAACTGATACGTACTTCCAAACGCACAAGCGACTATCAGGCAGTTCTTGCCCCCTCAACCCCTCAGAAAGAGGAAGAAATAAGAACAGCCCTCCGCCCCCAAAAAACCCTAGAACAAAAGGGTAGACAGGGTCACAGGTAGTGCTGGCCTATTTGCTCTGCTTTCTCCCATTTCCCACCTGAATTCTGCAGCGCAGAGACAGCCTTATTTCACACATTCCAAAACCTGGCTTCTAAGCTTGTTCCTCTCCGTTTGGAATTTGCCTTCCTCTAGAAACAGTATAAAATTGGGTCATCGGTGTCTCTGGCCAGTGCGTACGAAGCTTTCCAATTCGTGCGTAGTGAAAACACTGCATTTGAAGTGGGAGGGAAGGAGGCAGGGCGCAGCCGTGGAAGGAGCGACGCCGCAGTTGAGGACAGGACAAACTGATAAGGACAAAGATGGCAGAAGGTTCAACTTCCGGGAGACCCTGAGCCTCATGGCACAGCCACGGGCACCATGACAGTTCCCAGGCTGACCACGAAAGGTCAAGAAGTGGGCAGGAGGGCACTTCCTGGACATCCCCGCCCCTTCCCCAAAGTAGCTGGAACAATCCTCCCACTCATTAGCGTATGGAATACCCAGGCCACGAACCCTCCCAGCTCCGCACCTGACGGCCGCTCCCTCTCTTGCCTTCTGAGACGGCCCGCACTCTGTCCGCGGAGTGTGTGTCTCTCTAAAGAAACTTGCTTCCACCTTACCACGCCTCACTCTTGAATCCTTTCCTGTGCGAGGCGAGAGCCTGTTCTCCCACAACACATTTGCAATGGAAAGTGTAGGAAACAAACTGCAGCAATATTGGCAATTCTAACAGAAAAACAGTAAAAGTGCAAACCAGCCCCAATGCCATTAACTGTGTTACATTTTCACTATTGAACATTCAGGTCATTTCCAGTTTTTATGGTAAACAGTCCTTAAAATTGATACAGCCCTGTATATATCTCTGCACTTTTCCTAGGACTGCCCTTTTGATTCTGTAATTAAACATTTTTGTAAACAACGCAAGAAATACTGATGACACTTGCGTAGAAAACCTGCACGACAAAAGTATCATAAAGCCAAAAGACAAACGATTAAGACATACATGTGACAAGGAGTTAATCACCACAACATGCAAAAACTCTTAAAAATTGGTTAGAAAAAGATTTTTAAGTCTCAGTGTGAGATAGCCAAAGAATAGAAATAGACAGTTTTGAAAGAGGAGCTATTAATAATCCACAAACATATGAAGACATGATTAATTTGACTGTTGGCCAGAGAAATGAAAATTCAACTCACAGGAAGATACTATTTTCATCCAGTGAATTTGTTCAAAAACGAGACAAAATGATGCCATCTTAGCGCTGGCAAGGATCTGGGGGAAAGGGCACTTGTGTACTTTGCTCACGGAAGTGGGAATGGTAAACCCGCTCTGGAAAGCAACCTGGCAAAAAGTTTAAATACACGTACGCTTCGGCCCAGCAATCTCACTTCTCGGAATTTATTCTGTAAGACGAAGATGTCTCTATGCAGTTTGGGGCCTGGCAACAAACACACAAACAAACTCCCCAAACTACAAGATGTGCGGAAGGCAATTTGCAAAGAAACGTCCAGTTTGGTAAAACATAAAATGACATTGTAAAACATAAGCTCTTATTTCCGTGAAGTTTGTGAAACGTGTGGAGAAGGGCTGCGCTGGCTGTGAGCCTTGGGAGGTGGTAGCTTAATTCACAGAAACCCAGCCTAGATGATGGTGGTGCTGGCTTTGCTAGGACCACAGAGGACTTTGTGACTGAATTGTTTTAAAGGGCTGAGTGAGTCTGAACGCAGAGCGGGGTGAAGACCTTCACCACCTGTGCACAGGTTACAGGGCACGGACAGCGTGATCTTCACTGCAGGGGGCGCACGGGGACAGCACGTGCAGGTGCGATCACTGACTGACCCTAGCCTTGACCTTAACCCTAATCACTGACTGCCACGTAGGGGTGGTGGGGTCCAGGCTAGAGGAGATCTTGTCCTAAGTCCAGGTCCCTGTTCTCCTCCCTCTGACTCTTCTCCAAAAGAGTCCCCAGGGAGTCCTCACCTGCTGGGTCCTCTCCCAGGTTAGCGGCCACATGAGGCACACTGGACACCCTTCCCGGTGGCTGTGGGTGTAACTAGAAGCCGCAGCCTCCTCTCCACTCTCTCCTTCCGGGCCTCCCTCCCCTCTCTTTCCCTGGCCGGCCCATGTCCAACCTGCTGGGCTATGCCATCGTGCCCAGGGCTGGGCCCAGCACCCACAGGATGAAAGCAGAACCTGGGAACCAAAGTCCTCGCCCTACTCCGGTTCAGAAAGTGTGGAGACTCGAGGGAAGGGTCCCCAGCCAAAATCTGTCATCGTAGGAGCCAGCAGGAATCAGGGGACCGGGACCACGCACCAACTGGAATGAAGACACAAGATACCGGATTCTTTCTCTCCTTACAGGGCCGCCTTGCGGGCCAAGGCTTGGCTGTCCGCATTACTCAGCTATCTGCATGAGCGTTCCCTGGGTGGTGATCGCGGGAACCACATTCTACTCGACGTTGGTGACTAAAAATAATCCCCAAGCCTAGGTTCTTAAAACTCCTGATGAGGAGCTAAAGAGAGACTCCTGCAGCCTCTGGCCTTGAAATGGGAACCCCAGACAGCTAGGATGAGCTGCCCTTCAGCCTCTCCAGCCAGACCCCAAGGATGTCTTAAAATAAAAGCTCACTCTCTGTGTGTGAGCCGTGGGGCGCATCAGTGGGAGAGGCAGGCAGCTGCCCTTCTAGCCAACCGCCGGCTTCTCACTCCATTAAACGCTTACAAGAACGGGTCACAAGAGGGACTTTCAGTCCAGCTGTGTTACTTTTAGTCCCTTGCGTGTCACACTCCAAAGCCACACACTCCAGAACCATGAGTTCAGTGAGTTCAAGTCCGGCCACAAGCGTGTCGGTCTGGGACGTTTCTCCGAGTCTCGGCTTCTCTGCTGAAAACGGGTTTGAAGACTGCACTTGAATGAGTGAGCACAGGGGAGGCACTGAGCAGCCAGGTGTTCCAGAAGCACTGGCTGCCATTCTTGTTCCTTCGCTGGTAACACAGTTTGCTTGCTCCTTTAAAAAAGACGATCAGAAAAGCTTTAATAAAATTCTGTGCGTGGAGGGGCTGGGCCACGAGGGCAGCGCTGTAGGATGCCTAGCTCACCCCCTCCCACGAATAAAGCAAAATCTACACCGAAATACGGAGCGAATCATACGGATTACCTACTGAACTCCGGCAGAAAATCTCTTACATCCGAAATACGAGGAAATCCTCACAAAACCGACAAACAACAAACGTCTTCTACATAAAACAGGGAACTATTTTCACTATGTTATAGTGACCTATAATGGCAAAACATGTAAAATGGAATGTATGTATATATATGGATGACTGAAACATTTTGCTGTACACCAGAAATCCACACAACATTGTAAACTTGAAGCGGGAAGCCCCATAAAAAAGACCGGCAGGGCCCCCAGGCAGGGCCACTGCTCTTCCGCCAGCGCCATCCGGTTCCCTGGCCCAGAGGCTCTGTCTCACTTTTTGCCTCTGAAATGGCTTACGTCTAGGAAAGTGGAACTTACCCCTAAAATACTACCGGTTCCCTAAGCTAACTCCTGATTGGTCCATTGTAGTACTTCATTTGCATGGAGCTCACTCCTGATTGGTTATTTCTTTCACTCCTGATTGGGCCATTTCCCTCACTCCTGATTGGCCCCTTTGTAGTACTCCATTTGCATGGTGCTCACTCCTGATTGGTTATTTCTCTCACTCCTGATTGGTTATTTCTCTCAGTCCTGATTGGTCCATTTCTACAAAGCTTGTTCCCAAATAGTCAACTTCTGTTATACCTTATTTGCATGTGATGTTGCAAAGTGTAAACTGGCAGCCTAGAAAAGCCTGTGTAAACCTACAGACGGGGGTCCAGAGCTTGGAGTGTCAAGTCCTCTGGGCCTGTTGGCGTAATAAACCACTCTCCAAGGCCGGAGTGCTGTTTGGTCCCTCTCCTGGATCCAGGTTGTTGTCACAACTGAGCTGTAACACATTTTTCAGCAACAAAGTGATTATACTTAAAGGGAAAAAGAAAGAAAAGTCTGTGTGTGTTCAAGCCATTGCTCTGTTCTGGCATTGTGCTGAATTCTTTATGTAGGTTATTTCCACTTCTTATAACAGCATAGCTAGCTGAAAGTACTGTATTTTTATAATTTGCTTAACACAATAAGTGGTATAAAGTTGGGATTCAGGTCTGTTTAGGCTTCAGTTTCCTCCCCCCTCGTTTTACTCTGCTCTGCTGCCTCTCCGTCAGGAATAACCTGCTGAAAGTGTGAGGACACAGCTGACGTGCATGAGATGCAGGACACGCGACACTGACAAGAGGTAGGAATTCCTGGAATGATGCTCTCCAACTCCTGCCTCATTCCCAAGTATGTGCTGATGCAGCTGGAAACAAGACGAAATCCTCTCCCCCATGGTGCTTACATGATGGTGGACAGAGATAGATCATAAACAATTAAACAAGTCAAATGTGTAATATGCCAAATGGTGAGAAGTGCTATGGAAAAAATACACCAATGAAGAGAAGTAGGAAGTTTTGCGTGGGGTAGGCTGGGGAGAGGGGTGATTTTTAATTTTAAAATAAGAAGGCCACTTTTAAATTATTTTCTGATGTCAACATAATCTTGGTGGAGAACTCTCAATGGTGTCCAGGCTGTGAGCGGTGATGATTGCGACTCTGAATTGGGATCCCTGAGGGGACAAATGTTTGCGGGGGACAAACTAGAGCTTCAGTCTTTTATACCGTTGCCACCAGCCACATGTGGCTATTTAAATTGTCTAACATTAAAGACAATTTAAAATTTGGGTCCTCAGTCTCACTAGGGTTGCTGAGGTCACATCGCAAGTCCTCAGCAGCCACATGTTCTAGGTGGCGCATGTTTACAACATTCCTGTCTTTGCAGCATGTTCTGTTGGACAGCGTTGTACTCAAGTAAAGCAGCCAATGAGCAGGATGCCTGGCATCGTGCTTTGGGGAGGTGGTGATCTGGTGAGGAGGAGGTCAAGGTGGAGATCGTGGAGGAGGTAACTTTCACCTCCAGAAGATGTTATAATGGTATGATTTTGCCCTTTTGCAAACACTCATAATACAGAAGAACACAGATATGCCCATCTCCAGACAAAACTTTTATTTAGTTATCCTGACTTAAAATCACCACCATCCTTGTCTTCCTTCTCAGCCTCCTCCTTTTCGTCAACATCGTTCATTATCACTAATCATCACTATCTTTATTCCTTTCACCACCAGGCCTCCTCGTGTTACTTTGATTTTCTTCCCGTAATCACGTGTAATGCAGTTCGGTGAATGTTTCTAAGCACAAAATCAACAGGTTCCCTAAGGTTGGAAAAGATTGTACAGACACGTGAACCTGTGTGAGTTCTGCCTCCTGGTACTTCTCTCAAAAAGTAATTAATGAAATGAATGGAAATTAATAGAAAATATGCAATTGATGGAATAAATATTGGTTTTACAATAACCCAAGATACTTCATTAAGAACAGAAAAAGAAAATAATATGAAAACAAATCTATGTGTGCATATGTATGACTGGGACGTTGTGCTGTGC